CTAATCAACCTGTGTAAACTGACCATTCAATGTTGAGAAGAAAAGTGATAATCTTAGACATGTGCTTCTGTCGCGGAATGTTATTATAATTACCCGCCCCCCCCCCCACGGGGCTGCCCAGTTTGTCACAGGCCCAGTTTGTCACAGGCCAGTTTGTCACTCGCCCAGTTTGTCACTATTTCATTTAAGCATTTGAGTATTGATGACAATCATAATTACAGCACTCTGACACTGTAGTTGTAACTTAATTTTTTTTTTATTCCCCACCTTCAAATTGGCGGTGTAAAGAGTAAAGATAGTCCATCTAAAATGTCAATTCAGCTTGTGTTGTTCAATATTCTTCCTTTTTATTTTCAAATCAAAGCAAATCTATATTACATGTACTCTGTAAAATTTCAACAATGAATGTTCTTTCGATAAAAACAATTGAAAATAAAATTCAATTCAAGCAATCAATCGATCATTAATTTACTCTTTTTGAGACTGTCAGTGATAACTTCCATCATGTAGGGCCTGTGACAAACTGACATGCTTCCCCCCCCCCCCCTTTACACACACACACCCCATAAGATCCTCTTTTCCCTCGATGTAAGTGCATAATATATCATCACATTCAAGAGCCTGTACCTGTGTCGATAGGATTATCGGCATTCGCGACCCAGTTTGGCATGCTGAGTCCAATGAAAAGGGGCACGCCGAAAACGAAAAGGTTCCTTGATGAGTTGAGATTCACAAACTGGAGGTTAGAAATGCCCACCGCTGCAACCATGCCTGGGGGAAAAGAGGGGGAACATAAATGAAGGAAAGATTATTTCAAGCACTTGCAGATCAAAGAAGAATGTTACATACTGATTTAATTAATTGCTCTTTTCTCTTTCTCTCTCTCCCTCTCTCTCTCTCTCTCTCTCTCTCTCTCTCTCTCTCTCTCTCTCTCTCTCGCATGCACGCAAAATCGACCTTTTGTGTTTAAAGGGATCCAAGTAGCTCTTCCCAGTGACCTTTCGAAAGCTGCCGGTTGGGGATGAGTCTCTATACCTTTTCTTTCACTCTGAATGACAGCAGCGGAGGTAATGTTCGCACACGCACATGCACGAATACTCGTTTGCCAATGTACAATGACAAAAAGAAAATCTGTTTTAACGCAACTTGTTTGCTGGATAATCTATAGCATGATAACGTTTTAAATCAAAGTATTTCTATTTCAACACTGTTCAGCTCCATACGATGGAGGGCCCTCGATATTACATTTTATACTGGGTGTGGACCAGCGAGGTAGTTAAAGAGCCATGAAAACTCCATTGAACAACTAATACTATATTATATTATATAT